AGAAATTATTACTAACAACTTAAAGATGACAATTTAAAAATGACTATTTCAAAATGACAATTTATCAATGACTTTGATATCAAAACTTGGTATTAAAAGCAACCCTGTGTCTTAATGGAAACTAAAGTGGAATGCGTATGTTTGGATGCGTGGATGAATCTCAGAAGATTTCTATCAGAGAGAGAAACGCGTTCTGGATGGAAAAGTTGTTTTGCAGCTAACTAAGTTGTTTCTTAGAGAGAACAGCATACAGACTCGATCTGTCGGAAGTGTCTACCTCACCCAGTCAGGAGACCCTCTGTTGGATCCGAGATGCCAGGTGGAGATGATGGCCTCCGAGCACGAGGTTGGTAGAAGGACCTTGGTGTGACCAAATCGGTCCTGAGATGTCTCCGGGTCACAACGACTGATGAAACTAGTTGCGTCTCAAAATCAATAACTCTGAAGGAGTTTTACGTCAGCTGGTTACAGGTGGCGTTTATTCAGAGCGATTCTTTTTTTTTTCTTTTTTTTTTTACCGTGTCCTGTCTGGCTGTGAAGCAAACAGAATTGATGTCTGAATGCTGGTGACAAGCCTTACAGATTTACTCTCAGGTGGAGCATTAAAGCGTCTGCTTTTAATGTCACGCCTGATACTTAAAACTTTATTGTTATTGTTGTTGAATGCTTTGTAATTCTGACCAGACACGGAGACAGAGGTGAAAGAGAAAGGAAAAGAAAAGGTGGAGAGAGAGGAGGAGGAGGGGGGGGGGGTCCACAAAAATAAACAATAATGAACAAGAGTCTGCTTCTAGACCTGCAGAAAAAGACAAAAAAAAGCAAAAGGGCAAAAAAAAGGGACACAACAACAATACAACAAGATCAAGCTATCACTGCGTCAACTTGATGAAGAAATATATAATCAACATTGTTTAACTGAAGAATCACGATAATAAATCACAGTGCATTAAGTGCCCACCATAGTCTTAAGACCTGTGTTTAACGTGCCCAAGTCCATACTTTTGAGAGCACCATGTGAGCACCTGTGTGTGCACACGCGCTTGTTTATGTAAGGTTTCTCTATAGGAGCGTCCAACAGAGAGTGTGAGGGACCACAGATCTGCCCCCAAAGATGCGCAGGAGACGGGGGGAGCTCCAAGTCTCAGAGATCCAGGTGCTGCCCCAGAACACAGGAACCCCAAGGAGACTGCAACCAGAAAGGCCCCCGCCCCCCTCGAGAGGCACAGAGGATCTCCCCGGGGGGCCACAACCAGCAGCCGGCAGAGTCCCGGGAGACATCAGCGGCAAGCCCTCAGGCCCGCCCGCAGCCTCCCACCCCCTAGCCGGCCGAGCCCGGGACCCAGCGACCCGGGACCCAGGGGCAACCACCCCCGCCGGGGACCCAGCAGAGCCCAGGGACCCAGACCCCACCAGCTAAACATTGCTTCTTCAAAAGAGTGGTGCATGATGCTCAAAACTTCAAAAATGTCTTGAAGACATTGGCAATAAGACACCAAAACATGATGGTCTATCACCATGGTTCACCATCATTTTTCAAACCAACAATACAGACAACCAAGGTTGACTCCGTATTGGTTTCAGCTCTACCAGAGGTAGCTCAGGCTCACATTAGAAGACAAATGACCAGTAACACTTTCTATTGTATATCAAAGGTGACCACTGATGGCACAGACTATACCAGTGGAATGTTTGTGTCAGCTGGAGTCAGTGGAGGGCTGTCTAAATTTTGCAGACTAACACAGATCTACCTTGTGATTCACAATGTTTGTTTTCTCTGTACTGATTATGCTGCCTGGTATGTAGAGCATCTGCATTCCCATGAGCTGTCATCCACACCGGGAAGCATGTCTATGAATCTGCAGTCAGACTTCAATGATCCAACCCCACTCTCTGCATACAAGATCGATGGTTTGCTGCTGTTGACCCCCAAGAGGTTCATACAAGTGAGACAGAAGTAAGACCACTGCTGAGTAATTCTCACAATCTGCATTTTTGGTGGCACATTCTAAATAACATGACTATATGTGTATGTATGTATACAGATTTCTCTTTTTAAAACTGTCACTTTGGCACAGAGGTTGTTATTCATGATTATTAACATTCAAAAAAGTTATGAATGCCTTATATTTTCTGTATTAAGGTTCTTTTAAGTTCAATATCTCTTAATTTCTTCATTACAGTGATGGTGGCTGAAGCCCCTCGAAACATGATCCTACCTGTTGTCGAAGCGGATCGTGTTATAAAATTAAGACTTGACTCCTGTCCGGCCTCTCTTGATGCACTGATTAAGATTTTAAAAGAAAAACTGGAACTTGACTGTGATCTCAATTTGAAATACGAAGATCCAGACTTTGATGGAAAGCTCTCTTGCCTTGTTTACATAGAGGAGTTACCACAAAAAGCCTGTGTTCATATTTCCCTTACACAGGATTCCAGTTCTGTTGCATCAACTGATAAGCTTTCAGATGTTTCATCCCCAGAGCGTCTAAGCTGATAGCCTCCAGGTCCTTTTCAGATTCCCAAATTTCCATTTGACATTGAGCTGACACTTAGAGATGGGAATACTGCATTTGAAAAGAATAAAAGACTTCTTCAGTTGAGACCAAAAGAATGGTATTTTAGACATTTTGGCATCTACCATATATAGTTTCAAGGTTTACCCTGGTGACAAAGAAATAGGAATGGTAGCTGAAGCTCTTGTGAACTACATTTCAATTTTGTTAATACATAGTATTATGTTTATGTATGTAGCAGATGCTTTTGTCCAAAGCCACTTACAGGTGGTAATCAAGCCAGCAAGTTGCCCTTGAGGCTAACAACAAACACTATTCAGTCAGTCCTCGTTGGCGGTGGGGCAGCATAATCAATTATAGAGGGAAGTGAACATGGAGTGTGCAGTAGAGCGGGGGACAGGTGCAGGGAGGGTGCTAGTTTGGAAGATGCTCTCTGAACAGCTGGGTCTTCAGGAGTTTCTTGAAAACCAACAAGGAAGCCCCTGTTCTAGTAGTGCTCGGTAGGTCATTCCACATCTGTGGAACAACACGAGAAGAGTCTGGATTGTTCCGAGCGTGGTTTAGGCACTGCTAGCTGAGGATCCCTCGATGACCGGAGCGGCCGGGCCATGACGTAAGCCTTTGCAAGAGGATTCAGGTAGATGGGAGCTGTACCATTCAGGACTTTGTATGCTAGTGCTTGCGATTTGAATGTGATGCGTGCAGCTAGTGGTGGCCAATCAAGCTCAACGAACAGAGGGGTGACATGTGCTCTTTTTGGCTGATTGAAGACCAGACGCATCGCTGCATTCTGGACCATTTGAAGAGGCCTCACAGTAGAGGCTGGAAGTCCAGTTATAAATGATAAATTCATTGTGTTTATTATATTTAATTTATTATTAAACATTTTCATAAGAATATATTATAAAGCACAAAAAGGTCAAAGGGCTAACCAGGGCTGAGGCAGTGGCAACAATTGAGCCTGGTGAGATGATGACAGGTAAGAAAATTTGAGCCACTGAAAGAGAGCTGCAACAGAAAGCTGTTTTGTAGGTCTTTTGGAATATTGAAATATGTAATAACTGAATTTTTTGTTGCAGTGAAAACGAGGCGCTTCTCATGAGACTCAGAAGAGAAATCGAGAGACGTTCAATCAGCTGAAGTTTTCTGGAACATGGTTGATTTAAAAAGTTTGAGGCTGGTTATTTCTTCTTGTTTTTAATAATAATACATGCAAACATCAAACAAATTGGAGCCTAGTTGCGGGTGTTAACTGTGCTACAAATCACCAAAAAGTAAAATCTGTCTTGAAGTTTCACAAATCACATATTAGGTTTTATGTAAGCTGCTATTAGTGTAGAATAATATGGTGCAGGCTGAGCAGTGCGTGTGTTATAGTCTTTGAGCTAGAGCAGATTAACGACGGTCAGAGTGGAGAAACATTGGGTGTAATTGCCCTTTAGCCATTTCCTGAACTGGAAGCTAACTTCAGCCTCGTAACTGAGTTTTTAATCGGTCTGTTTTTAGACCGACAGCCAACTGAGGACAAACCTCTTCAGGTCAAACTAAATCTTTGCTACCATAATGCTATTACAGCGGCTAATTCTAATTAGATAAGTAGTTGACTAGTGATAGTAGGAGAACAGGAACGCAGTCAGGAAAATTTTACAACCGTTTAATTCGACATATTCAGAACAAATAACAAGGAATGAAACATTTCTCAAATAAATTTCACATTTTAATGGTTAAATAGATTAATTAAATTTTGCATTTTCTGTTTCTATTCATTAGTGGCACTTGATGCTTTGTTGTTTGAAAAAGAAATCATTTATCTGTCCTAAGATTCATATTTTGTCTGTTGCAATAAAATCAGAACATCCATATAAACATTATTCACAAAATGACTTACGTAAATAAATTCAGAGATCTGTTCCCACAGGCAGCTACATCTCTACAGTTGCAATAAACATGGAAAGGTATTTGACATAAAGGCATCTTTGGCGTGTTTAAAAAACATATATTGTTTATATTTCCTTATGCATTACATTATTAATTAGAAACATTTAAAGAGTGGGTTCCATTTCATGGTGAAACTTCTAAAATAAAAGCCAAAATGAAATGCATTCTACTTCTAAATAATAGAGATGTTATAAGACTGAAGGTCACAAACATTACATCCTGATACTGTCCAATCATATCCAATCATGCCACAGGGATATTTATAGAAAATAAAGATGTTGGCCCTTTGGAGTTCAAGGTTTTTATATTTGGATCATAAATGTTGTCCCGTTTACTGTAACACATAAGTCTTCAGCTGAGTCTTTAAAAGTCAGCTTTGTTCAAAACAGCATAGAGCTTTCCAAGCAGTGTGCCCATGTGCTACTGAAGTCATGACATCATGCCTTAGACTGGCCGAAGCCAGTGGTCCCAGTAAACAGGATTTTGTCATGAAGACAGCTTTCATGGTGGAAGCTCAGAACGTCAAACAGGAGCACTGAAAGAGTTTGTTGGGTAGCAGGCTACACCTGAAAGTCGGTCCCAAAACGTCTAATCTGGGCATCGGTCATAGACAGGTAAGTTGTCCTCATACTGGGGGAGTACTGCAGAAAAACAGAGATCAGAAAGATTAGAATTTGAAAAACAGTTTAAAGCAAATTTTTATGCTCTGCCCTTCAGTGTGGGGGTTGCAGAGTTAGAAGGAAAATATTGCTGCTGCTATGACTCAAAAGAACATAAAAGAAGAGAAGAAGTATAAATGAAATGTAAAATAATTTTCACTCACATGCAAATCTCAGCTGGCAAAACAGTGCCAGGAAGTCAAAGCTGGGCTAACAAATTTACAGTAAATGAAAGGATGAAAGTGAGTTCAGAGATAGACGTGTGCAGAAAAATCACAGAAAACACGAAAATAACAAAAGTATTCCAACGTACAGCTTCACTTCAGTACTGAGAAACTGCTCACACACACACACACACACACACACACACACACACACACACACGCACACGCGCGCGCACACACACACACACACACACACACACACACACACACACACACACACACAAAATGCTCATCAAAACAAACAGAGACAAGGCACAAAATGCAGCATTTATTGAACCCCCCCCCCCCCCACCACCACCAGGTTTTCAAGCAGCTCTGTCACAGATACACCAGAAAACCGATGTCTATGCCTGTTGGAAGCCGCCTCACTGAGGCAGACACACTTTAAACGATGTTCCAGATTCTTTTCTGCCTTCTCTCACTCTAAAAGGAAGTCTTTGGTACGCTGAGGACGGCTGAAGCCACGGAAGCAGAAAACTTCACAGCAAGAAAAACCCTGCACAGCAGACCCTTAGACTGTGTATTTTTCTGTACTCCATCTGTTTTCTGTAATTTAGCCCTAGCTCCGTAGACACAACGGGCTACACGGTGAGTTAAAAGTGGAAACCCACTCTGAGGTTGAAGACAAATAAGCTGATTTTATGCTTTTGAAGCACAGACAAATTTACATGGAAGATAAATGTTTGAAAAACAATCAGAATGAGTAAAGTAAAAGGGAGCTCGGTATTATAATAAAAATGCACTTCCATAAACATCCAGTAGAGATCAGTCTTCCATCACATGCACAAAGATGAAGGTGTCTACATGGTGGTCCAGGAAAGCTGTGGGCTAGTGTCTAGTATGACTGTTTCCAGTCAGTGCCACCACCCTCTTCATCAGCATCATCATCACACTAACGATACTAAAGCCTCATAAGGCCAACGAACCGAAGGAGGCGGGGATCCTCTCCTTATCAGTGGCACATTCTCATACCGAGGCACCTCTCCAAACAGCATCGACTGATTCCTGTAATTCAAAGGCAAAAGTGGTAAGAAAGTAAAAACCAGATGCACAGATGCAATCATCTGCAGTCACAGCTCACATGTATTCAGGAGGTGGTATGGTAGAATTAGAAGTAGATTGAGGAGGTGGATGCAGACTGGCCTGACTGCCAAGGCTGCTGATGTAGCTACAGAAACTGTGCGTGTTGGATCTTTGAGGGTTGTATGAGAGCCGACGTGCTTGTGGATTGAATGGATCCTCCGCATCGATGTCGTTGTACTCCTTTTCCCTAGATTGGCAGATGTTGGTACACACAAAGATGCAGAAAGACAGACAGATCAAGAGAGAGACAGGCAGATAGAGCGCCTTTTGCGGAAGTACACTGTGGGCAGTACATAATAGAGTAAAAGGGTTCGCTCGGCACTGACCTGCTGCCCATTAATGTCCACAAGCGGAAAATCACACACAGCATGGCTGAGAGCGCGCAGGCAGACAGGAGAGAAAACAAAGAGAGGTAGAGGAGACCTTCCACCCCATCGTAGCACACACCCATCAGGGCATCCAGGTAGTCCTGCAAAACTCAGCTGTCAGCATTCAGTAAATGAAGATAAACAAGTTGCTAATGCAACACCACGACCATTACACAGATGGGGTTGCCTACAGCTCCACTGATTTAAAAAATATAGCTTCTGTAAAACTGGCAACTTTATTTTTTGCCCTTACTTCATTTCACTTCAACCAATAATATGTTCTCTAATGGTTTTGAGTTTCAATGAGCCAAGCACATTTTTCCTGTATGAAGACGTGCTGTAAAAGGTGTCCATGGACTTTCTTGTACATCTGGTTTTTAGTGGTGCAAGGATCTTGCTGATTCTGAATGATACTTTTAAAACAGGTTAAACGTGATTAGTTGGAATAGAGTTTTTAATGAAACTGCTTCATGTTCTTGGGTTATAATAAATACTAACTGCCATTCAATGGGGAGTGATCAAAAGAAAAAAAGCTCAGCCTAATTTTGATTATATGAATGCTATTGTTGAAATTTCTGTGTACTTTAATGACACTTGTGCAGTATCTAAATTTTGAATAATTGGCAACCTCATAAAAATGGTTGTGGTTGCACGCACACACACGTGTGTGTGTGTGTGTGTGTATATATATATATATATATATATATATATATATACTTCTCTTTCTTAGAGCTAAATGATCCAACGCTCCTTGATGCCACCACAGTGGCAAATTGACGGCATTGTTCTGTAAAAACGGCTGAATACTTGGTGCTGTCCTTGCAAATCACAGCGGTCATACAAAATAATAGATGTAGTAGTTTGGTAAAATGGAATATTTTGTGATCTAAGTTATATTATTAACCTTAATTTCATGTTATGGAGTTAAACAGGTGTTGAATAAAACCCAGCCTTGTGAAAATTCTGCAAATCTTGCTATTGTTCAGTGAACTACTGATTAAATTTGTACTTTTTAAAGGGGTGTACTCATTTATGCTGAGCACCGTAACTTCAACCAGAATCCCGAGTCTCGTTGGAAGCTACAGGAAGTGTTTAGAAGTGGTTATTTCTGCAAAAGGAGGATCTACAAAATACTGAGTAAATTTATTTTTTGTGGTGCCCAAACTTAGGCCTGCCTAATTTAAATTTTTTTTAACAATTATTACATACTTAATGTAAATCCTATAAACGTCATTTCACTTCTCATAATCAGTCTCGATTTCTGCTGCGACATTCAGATGGTAGGGTCAGTATTTGGTGTCAACAAGATGAAAGCATGGATCCATCCAGCCTCGTATCAACGGTTCAGGTTGCTGCTGGTGGTGTAATGATATGGGGGACGTTTCCTTGGCACACTTTGGGCCCCTTATCACTGACTGATCATCGCTGCAACGCCACAGCCTACCTGAGTATTGTTGTCTATCTCTTTATGACCACAGTCATGAAGCCACTACTTAGTTATTTTAGCTGTGTGCTTTTTAAAATGTTATTTTATTCATTTATTTGGTTTGGACAATGCATGTTAATGAACATACATAAAAAAAAAACATTGCATGTAAACACGCCACGCTATAGCCAAGGGCTCATTTCCTTCTGTAGTAAGACCGGGTCACACATGGGCCCAAGAAGACAATCAAACAATACTTATAATACAGTATATGTGCAATAATGAAAATACATTTCATTACAATTAATACATTTGAAAGTGCATTTAACTCATTCACACTCACACGCATACAATTCGGTCTCCCTAAAAGACTATTGAAAACATTCAAATTATAACCCCCCTACAGATGAGCGCACTCTTGACTAACCAGTGTTTGACTTGAAGGAGCTGAATGCAGAACACTAACCCCTACTGCATTCTGGAAGCCTCAGCGGTGTGGAACGGCAGCGAAACGGCACTGCTTTCAATACAATCCATTATACAAAGTCCTCCAACTCACAAAGCTGGAAAAGCACTTGACCTCATTTTCACCACAAACTGTGCCATAGACAATCTCTGTCACACCGCTGTATCTTTCAGCACGACTCTACAAGGGAGGTCCACTGCTTCCTCCCCAATGGTCTCATTCTGCCGCAACCTCCGCAATCTGGCACCCAACCACTTCTCCTCTCTTGTTGCCTCCACTCTTCCATCTCCCAGCACATTCTCTGCTTATGAAGTGAATGATGCCACCGAGTCACTCTGCTCCACACTCTTCAACTTTCAAGAAACTCCTGAAGACCCTGCTCTTCAGAGAGCATCTTCTAAACTAGCACCCTCCCTGCACCCATCCCCCTCTCTACTGTCCACTCCTTGTTCCCTCCTCTCCATGATTCATCATGCTGCCTCACTGCCACCTACGACTGACTGGAAATTGGTTGTTATTCTTGTTGTTGTTAGCCTAAAGGGCAACATGCCGATTATCACTTGTAAGTCGCTTTGGACAAAAGCATCTGCTAAATACATAAACATAAACATTATAGTCTATGTAGTGCAACAAACCAGCCGCGCCGCTAAAGATGGGATTGGGTTCTATTTTTTCCGCAAGTTCAGCAATTACCGCAGTTAACATAGGGCTAGACAGGAAATCACACTTGGTTCCAGTGTAAAAACCCCGGTAATTTTCAAAATAAAAGTATTGCAGCAATGTAATTCCATATACTGTACATGAAACTGACGTGTGACCTAACGACTTATTTACTCACAGCATTGTTCCAGAAGTGCAGCAGTGTGATTTCATGGCTTTATTCCCGGCAGTGGAGAGGATCAACATCATATATGACATCAAACAGCGATATCAATGTGATTTCCATTTTTTGGTTTAATGGCGGACAGCAAAACAAACCATAACTTTGGGAGTCTCGAGGGAGTTTGTGATCTTGCGATGCAAGCAAGGAGCATGGTAGGGAAGCCGCTTCACTGCTGAGACTCTCCCAGTGTGCACTCAAGTGTGTCGCGAGTAAACCGTTCCACTGCTGTTCTGCACCGCTTATGCTTTCAGTGTGCAGCCCGGGTTAGGGTGTATGTAGAATGCTTCGGGTCATTGTCATGTTGGAAGATAAACCTTCGGTCCAGTCTGAGATCCTGAGCACTCTGGAGTAGGTTTGTTTCCAGGTTATCCCTGTACTTGGCCGCATTTTTAAGTGTTACGATGGTCTGTTTCTCTTCCATTGTTAACTGCCTTTTTCTCGCCATTTTTGTAGCAACGCACCATTATCTGCAGTATATACTGTTCAACTAATGCTCAGAAGGGTATGGTACCACAGTATGTTCCAACACTGCTTTTATGCAGACAGAGGGGGTTGTAAGTAATCCAGAAAAGTTGGAACACCTGTGGGAATTGGTAGCACCAGCTTTCAAGGATTGACCAACCTCTGTTGCTGCAGAACAGCTGTGTTCCCTGAAAAAGGCCTTTTAGTATAATTCTGAAATGCACATTATTTTCAGTTTTGAGTAACCTTACCTCTGTTTTAACCTCTGGCAGTTAACCACTTAACTTTGTACCATTTCAAGCTATTCATTGGACTTGAATGACTTATACTGCGCGCACGCACGCACGCACACACACACACATACACACACACGTGTATGTGTGTTGGTTGGTTTTGAAAAGACAAGTATTGGCTGAGTTGTATTAACTGAGTGTTTATGGTATGTTGGTGTATAATTAGAAGCATTTCAGAAGTCTCAAAGCCTTTTATTCACACAGAGTTGATGAAAGAAATCAACGTTTTCAGTGTTGATTTCCCAAGTTGAACATTTCCTAGAAAGGAATTCAAAATGTTGATGTTTTGTTCTTTAAGCCTGTTATATGTTCACCTTCTAGCACAGTGCTCCACAAAATAAATCAGTATGAGTGTGGCAGAGGCATAACTGTGAGTCTATTCTCTTGCCTCAAGTATGTTTTATTTAGGCAGAAACGGGACTGATGGTAGTCCCCTTCTTTCCTTCTTTACTTCAGAAGCTCAAAAACAATCAATAAAAAGGAATTCATTTGAGAACTTGACTTTACCTTAGTGCTCAGCAGTCCACCCCCTGAACCTTTAGCAACCCATCAGTCTGTCCCTGATGTTTTCTTGAGGAAAAATAGTTTCTTTGCCACCCTTATTAACACCATTCTTTGCAGATGCACTCACACCTGCCTGCTTCCAGTTTGGAGAAAGCTCTGTACTAGAGCCCTGCACTGAAGCCCTAGGCCCAGTGGTCAGCCCGGCCCGTCGGCCTGAGGGCCGGGCTTCGGGCCGACGACTGTGTAATTACCTCGGACACGGGCCGGGCGCCTTTATTTTTAATCAAGTTTAAAAAAAAAACCTGAAACACTTGAACGCAGCAGCACCTGCCTGCTTCTCACGCACGGTTAGCTCAGTTAAGGTCTGTGTGGTTTATAAATGCACCGATATAAACGATTCTCAAACTGCTGATTGAAACCTGTGCCCCTATTCTAATATGCCATTTTATGTCCACTTTGATATGTCAGAAACCTTTCGTTTATTCTCATGAAAACGGCAGCATTCTGTTTTTCTGTGAATAAATTCGCTCTGCAGTTAAAAAATACAGCATTCATTGCTGTTTTTTTTCTAACTGGAGAGCGCATTTTCAGAGCAGATTAAATTTACAAACGCATCCGATTAATATAGTGCTCGTAAATTTCATCTGCCGCTCTCGGAATATACGCTCTGTTAGAAAAAAAAGCTGCATTGAATGCTGTTTTTCTTTCTTTCTTTCTTTCTTTCTTTCTTTCTTTCTTTCTTTTCTTTCTTTTCTTTCTTTTCTTTCTTTACAGATAATTAGAACGCTGAGCATTCTTCGTCTTCGTCTTCCTCCGCTTATCCGGGTCCGGGTCGCGGGGGCAGCATCCCAATTAGGGAGCTCCAGGCCGTCCTCTCCCCGGCCTTGTCCACCAGCTCCTCCGGCAGGACCCCAAGGCGTTCCCGGACCAGATTGGAGATGTAACCTCTCCAACGTGTCCTGGGTCGACCCGGGGGCCTTCTGCCGGCAGGACATGCCCGAAACACCTCCCCGGGGAGGCGTCCAGGAGGCATCCTGACCAGATGCCCAAACCACCTCAACTGGCTCCTTTCGATCCGGAGGAGCAGCGGTTCTACTCCGAGTCCCTCCCGAATGTCCGAGCTCCTCACCCTATCTCTAAGGCTGAGCCCGGCCACCCTACGGAGGAAACTCATTTCGGCCGCTTGTATCCGCGATCTCGTTCTTTCGGTCGTTACCCAAAGCTCATGACCATAGGTGAGGATTGGGACGTAGATCGACCGGTAAATCGAGAGCCTGGCTTTCTGGCTCAGCTCCCTCTTCACCACGACAGATCGGCTCAGCGTCCGCATCACTGCAGACGCCGAACCAATCCGCCTGTCGATCTCCCGATCCCTCCTACCCTCACTCGTGAACAAGACCCCGAGGTACTTAAACTCCTCCACTTGAGGTAGGACCTCTCCCCCAACCCGGAGGTGGCAAGCCACCCTTTTCCGGTCGAGAACCATGGTCTCAGATTTGGAGGTGCTGATCCTCATCCCAGCCGCTTCACATTCGGCCGCGAACCTACCCAGCAAGAGCTGAAGGTTAGAGCTGGATGAAGCTAGGAGGACCACATCATCCGCAAAAAGCAGAGACGAGATTCTCCTGCCACCAAACTCGACACACTCCACACCACGGCTGCGTCTAGAAATTCTGTCCATAAAAGTGATGAACAGAACCGGTGACAAAGGGCAGCCCTGGCGGAGTCCAACCCTCACTGGGAACAGGTCCGACTTACTACCGGCTATGCGGACCAAACTCACGCTCCTCTGGTAAAGGGACTGAATGGCCCTTAACAGAAAGCCACCCACCCCATACTCCTGGAGCGTCCCCCACAGGGTGCCCCTGGGGACACGGTCATAAGCCTTCTCCAAATCCACAAAGCACATGTGGATTGGTTGGGCAAACTCCCATGCCCCCTCCATCACCCTTGCAAGGGTATAGAGCTGGTCCACAGTTCCACGGCCAGGACGAAAACCACATTGCTCCTCCTCTATCTGAGATTCAACTATCGATCGGACCCTCCTCTCCAGTACCTTGGAGTAGACCTTTCCAGGGAGGCTGAGGAGTGTGATCCCCCTATAGTTGGAACACACCCTCAGGTCACCCTTCTTAAAGATGGGGACCACCACCCCGGTCTGCCACTCCCTAGGAACTGCCCCCGATGACCACGCAATGTTGTAGAGACGTGTCAACCATGACAGCCCTACAACATCCATAGCCTTGAGATACCCAGGATGAACCTCATCCGCCCCCGGGGCTCCGCCGCTGTGTAGTTGTTTGACTACCTCAGCAACTTCTGCCCCCGAGATCGGACAGTCCATCCCCAGGCCTCCCAGCTCTGGTTCCTCCTCGGAATGCGCATTGGTGGGATTGAGGAGCATTCTATCACGCTAAAACATTATGAAAGGTAAAAAAAAAAAAAAGTCGGGTCGGGCCAGAGAATCCTGAAAACCTGTTCGGACCGGATTGGGCTGGGGCTGCACCTCCTCGGGCCGGGCCGGACACGGGCTCAGATTTTAGGCCCGTGCAGGGCTCTACTCTGTACTGCTCCAGTCCCACAGCTCAACTTATTTTAATGGTCCCGAACCTTGCTGGACTTTTGAGGTGCACAAATATAAAGAAAATGTGTTTTTTGGAAGGGATTCAGTTTCATAGCAAAGAACATTTTTTTTCTGTAAATTGTAATTTATCTGATGACCCTTCATGACTTCCTGGAATTTATGCAAACAGACATCACAAAAACTGAAGCAGCAAACTAGTTTGCTCAGTTGCGACGGATTACATTTATATCATTTCCAAATATGTTGGCAATAACTGCAATCTAGGTGATATTTTGAGTCAAAACCAGATGTGTACAGAGATGAAAAGTCTTAATATTTGAAAAATCAAGCTTTCAAAAAGAATCTGTTTTAGAATGTAATCTGTGTTCTTCAGAAGCAGCATTAAACATTCACAAAAGGTGTTCAAATGTGTGAGTAAGCAAAGCACAGCAAGATAAGGTCAAAATAATTATAGCTGGTCGTCTCTAAGTGGCTTTGAGCTCTGATACAACGTGTTACTATTAAAAATGTCCCAGTCAGACTCTGACCGTACCTTTCGTATCCCACGGCAATCAAGCAGCGCTGTTAGCTGGTGCACACTGAACTCAGTGGAGTTTAACAGCCGCTGGATCCCTAAAAGGTCTCTCTGTAGAACAAGGTGTACAATGGGAGACAATGACGCATAACCTTCCACAGCCTGGTGTAATAGTCTGTCAGGGAGCCACTTACCTGAGCAGCGGGAAAAACTGGCACAGAAAATCTCAGCAAGCCCTGGATCTGGATTTGCATGGTGGTGAGAGAACGCTGACAGATTGTCAGTGACTGTGAAAACACAATCAAACCACCACATCACAGATGTCCACAACAAACAAGAAGCGGATCTCATTAGGTTTTGTTTGGGGACGATGCAATGTGTCAACAAATAATTTGGTATTAAATAAAGATTCATAATGTAGGGCAGATTCCTCTATAGACAGATTATCCTTTGCCATCAATCATCTCACCCACAATGATCCCTTGCCCATTATCACCAACAATCTCAAACAGAAACAAAGGAGTAATATGTATATCAAGTGGGCCATCGGGGAAAAGATGATCCTTTCTGAGTAAACAAGCACAGTTTTAATCCGTTAATGGGTGTTGTGATGGTAGCCAAGAATACGGGTTTTAATAATTACAGCTCATGGATTTACCCCTCCTCCCAAAAAGCAGCACAATACAGTGATTCAGAATGACATGAGATTACACTAAATAAACCTACATATTAAGACATTTCCAAAGTTAATCAGTCTGTACAATGCTTTCTTCAGAGGGGCGTATATCTCCAATAATAGTCCCTCAAGGTCTCATTATAAACTGCGTGTGTAGAACGAAAAAGAATCCCACATTTAAAAAAAAAGTTATATTCATTTTACCGTGTGATTCATGTTAAGAGACTATCTGAGAAAGCAGACAGCTAAGACATTTAGTCAATACCTGCTGAAAGGGGTTTTGTAGATTTGGACTGCAGAACAAATAATAGTGTGCGATATCTGCAAGGTGAAAGAAATGAGAAGGTTACCAGTGTGTCCTAGTGTTCTGTGGAAAGAGCTGTTGTCTGTGCACTTCTGTCTGAGGAGATCAATTACCTGCACTGAGGAAATCCTGGGTTTGGTTGACAATATACCTGACTGGAGACACACAGAAGTCGCTGGTGACCTGCAGGAGAACCACAACACACAAGAAGCATGCAGAGCTAAATGTGCAGCACTAATGGCAAGAGGTAGGCTACATCTGAATTCTCACCAAGCATCTGAAGGGACATTTTCTAAAGTGGGAAATTATTGAGGGCTGCGCAGTGGCGCAGTGGTTTGAGCTGTTGCCTTGCAGCGAGAAGGTCCTGGGTTCGCTTCCCGGCTTAGGATCTTTCTGCATGGAGTTTGCATGTTCTCCCTGTGCATGCGTGGGTTCTCTCCGGGTTCTCCGGCCTCCTCCCACAGTCCAAAAGCATGACTGTTAGGTTGTTTGTCCTGTGTGTCTCTGTGTTGCCCTGCGATGGACTGGCTCTCTGTCCAGGGTGTACCCCGCCCAGCTGCCTGTTGACTACTGGAGATACCAGACCCCACGTGGACAAAGCGGGTTCAGAAGATGGATGGAAATATTGACAATCTTTGAGCACATTAAACATTATTTCCCAGGATTTTATCGCCTTTAGCAAATACTTTGGCCCACATTCCCAAACATTTATTGCTAATCAGTAAAAGAAACATAAAAATATATCAAGTTTTATGTGGTAGTTCATACAATTTTAACCCTCCCACTGTCCTAATGGGTGTGACCCAGCGAGGAAAGTTGACCATTGAGCAGGATTGATGGTTTATCCCTTGAGGTCCATGTGGCAGGGGTGAGGAGTGAGCACCACCTCACCCCTGCCACATGGACCTCAAGGGATAAACCATCAATCCTGCTCAATGGTCAACTTTCCTAACAGAGTCACCCATAAAGACAGTGGGAGGGTTAATGATGTTTTTCTCATAAATACTAAAATCAACTTCATTTGTGGCATGCTTTCTCTTCTACCAGTAGAGCTGCTAATGGACACCTACAGACAATCAGAGGTCAAGTTCATGCACTCTCTGTGAATGCTCATCAAAGCAACACATCAATCTGACCTTACAAATAACCAAATAAAACTACCCACATGCCTTATTAACAGCTGGGAGAACAACAAGCTTCCATTCACACGAATGAGGCTCAAAGGCAACACGAAACCAGTTATTCTGCATAAAACATTCCTGCAATCCATTTCTAAATTGCCCAATGTTTAATTTGTCAGTGACCATCAAGAGGTGTCTTCTTCCAACTCACCACCACGTATGAGACGGACATGACAGGAAGCAGAGCTGCTCTGGTTTTACAAAGCAATGATGCGACACACAGACACACAAACGCGTACACAAATGTACTGATCACAAAAAAGCCTAAGGATTTAGCAGTAAATGTATATAATTCATCTAATATGGCGTTATATAGAAGATTAAATAAAGTTACGTCAGATTAGTAAAATTTTAAGAGTGAATCATTTGGTTTTAGATTAATAAGTCAATGTCATTTTTAAATATCTACTAGGGGTGGGCAATATGGCCGAAACACATTTATCACAATATTTCAGAGCATTCTGATTTAACGATTAATCCGACAATACAACAAAGAACAAAAAGTGTTGCTGATTTTCATTCCTTATTTCTTCGGCAGTAATATTAGAGCCCTATAAAATCATTTTATTTTTTACCAAATTCCACTTTTTATTCTTCTGAATTTCACATTTCCATTATAACCATATATATATATATATATATATATATATATATATATATATATATATATATATATATATATAAAGTCTAACATAATAACATGAAAAAATAATTAAACAAGTAGCCAGAATTCAAACTGCACACAAAAAAATAAAGTGACTTGGTTCTGCAGAAAACGGAGTGATTTTTCAAGATCTTTAAAAGATTTTATTCATATTTCCATTAAAAACATGTTTATGTGCAAAACTAGGTGTTACTGTGTTTTTTAGTAGATGTTTAGGAATTACAAAAAGCGAGAAATGACGTCAGCAACAAGCGGGAAAAAGAACGTGGTGGATGCTGTTTGTTTATATTCAGAGTTCAATAAAGTTAAGAAAAAAAAACAGACGAGCAGCCTTGACTTGAAAACACTGCATCCCACCTTCATTTGCAAAGCCTCACCATAAGTAGATGAAGCTTTTCCATTTCTCCAACAAAAATATCTGATGCATCAAAATAAACGTGTGCCTGGCACCTAATGTAGAAGTGGCAAGCTAGCAGAAGCCAGTTACATTCGTGTTAATGAAAATTAATTTCTGGAGTTAGCACTCAGCCAGCTCTTGCTAGCTTGATGCTTCACGTATCTCTTTCCTGTCTGTGTGGAGAAATGGGCTGTGTGACCAGATAACAGCAGCAGCCGAAACACCTCAGAGCCACCATGAATCTTTTCCATCTCGCTCATGAGCGAACACGCTGATATTTCAGCCGTTTGCCTTCACAACTTTAATAACTCTGTGCCGTTTGACCCACGTGAGCATAATGATGTGTCAACATCATTTGCATGTAATTTTTTTACACCAGATAAGATAAAAAATACTGGTACTATCGTGGAAGTTATATGGCCCACCTCTAGAGTCTACATATGTCGATCTACATCAACATTACAATACAGGGTTTCCCCCAGAAAACGTGATGCTTGTATATGCCCCAGGCTGATTCTATCTGCCAATTGGAGGCTCCCCTTAATGGAAGGGGTGCTTTTGAGCTGACCAATTAGCTGGCAGTGGGTGTGTCGGCCCTGTTTGTCTCCAGGCAGACCGCTTAGGGAAGAGGGCTAAAAAGACGTCCGATTGCGCGCAGAAGTGCTTCCTAAAGTCCACAACAACCTCTGTCGTCTTTTAAGTGTTTAGCACCAGGACATCAGCCATTTGATCATGGCTGCACAGGAACAGGGCCTGAAAACCAGAGCAACAGAGGCCAAGATCTACCACACCAGACAAGACCCAAAGTGTGGGCTATGCAAAGAGCCCCCTGACACAATCCACCACAGAGTTGCAGGGCTGGGCAGTATGGCTTAAAATCAGTATCACGATATATTGAGGATTTAATCTCGATAACTATAAATGGACGATAACTACATGCATGCGCAGAAACAAAAGTTGTCCACTAGATGGGGCTGTCACATGTATTAGTTGAGTCACATTTTTCCATGACTCAAGGCGGTATAGCTTCTTAAAGGGGCCAACCTACACACATCTTTTCATTTTTATCATCAAATTTATTGACATGGGAAAAATTATCACGATAAGAGTCAGAAATTTCGATAATGATAAATTCTCGATTTATTGCCCAGCCCTACTGCAGGGTGTAAGATGCTGGCAGGGAAAGCTTACATGGAACGTTGCAACCAAGTGGCAGGCATCTTGTACAGAACATCTGTGCAGAGTATGGACTAGAAGCCCCAAGGTCAAAGTGGGTAACACCCTCTAAGGCATGGACGTAATTGGGTGGTGGGGGGTGGTGGTGGTGGTGGTGGTGGTGGTGGTGGGGGGGGGGTATGTCCCCCTGTCCCCCCCACTTTTTCCAAAGTCAAGTTTTGACCCCTGCACTTTTTACCATCCAAAAACAATATTACGCTATGTTAAATTGACACTGGTTGAGCTCTAGGACCAAGCGGAAAACAACCGTTTGTGTTGAAGCCCGTTACCCATACTGTAAGCATACTGTAAGGACTTCTAAAGTGGGACTTCACACTTCAGCAGCTGTTACCTTGTCTGTATTAGAACATTCTTTGGGCTTTAACATGAACATGTCCATTGATTGGGAAGCCTCCTTTTGAGCAACCTGTTTGTTGTGAGTGTTGGATTTTTGGTGCTGTTTAACGTCATACTCCCCACTGTGAGACACAGAGAAATTATTCTGACAAATATCACAAAGGCTCTGTCTGAGGCGCCAAGAACAGGTTTTACCCATGAATGAATGCTCTCCCAGTCACTGTTGTAAGAGCATTTTCTGGCCCTTCATTAACCCTCTAAGGGTCATTTTAGCACATCCTGACTCAAGAAAATGATTGAAAATATGAAAAAGTTGCAAAGTATCCCTGTAACATTCATGATGCAACAAGTTTACATGCTTGCTTTGCAAAATTCCCACATTGAGAAGCATGCTCCTGTAAACATCTTAAGTTGGAGGACATGGCAGCTTATTACCCATTCAGCTCCGATGTTATGCATAAGTGTGCCTAAGTTTAGATAGTGCCAATGGACTGACAATTGGTAAGAGATGGATCTTTGGTGAGTTTACTTGAGCTGAGCTGGGACATAACATTCAAATGCTGACGGTGACATAAGCCACAGATCTAACAGTGAAACAAAAAGATTTGTTTGATTTGCATCCATGTATTTGTTTTTGAGTTAAAATCAGTACATTCCTTTTCTTTTGAATGCAAACAGAGCAAATCCTTGGGGGATAAAATCCAGACGTGAGGCTTCCCCACTGGGCACAGGACAAATTAACAAAGGACTCAGTGGACCTGAGGGCTGGAGGAAAGCTGGAAGCAAGGGGGCTATCTTCTGGACCCCTGACAGCTTCCCTAATACGAGCACCATTAAACACATTAAGCCCAGATGCGCTGAACACATGGTTTACACTCTTGAAGAGAGAGCAATCTGTCAAAAATAAAGAGGCCTAAAAGGGAAATAAAAAGGGAACACAACAATAGAAATGACTTTGAAAAAAAAAAAAAGAGAGAGGCAGCAATTAAAGCTAGAAAGCTGCTTTATTTACAGCTGGGCTAAGACTCCTGAATCTAAAAGACTCGGAATGTATAATCAGCTTTACTGCATGGCTGACCTTAGGAAAGAGCTTACTATAAACTTCACAAGCTGATACACACACCTCGTAAGAAGCTAACATTGCTGGACACTGACTGAGAGAAACACCCTGGGAGGGGTGCACAAGACAAATACAGGAAAAGCAAATAAGAGCCATGGCAGTAAGGATAATTACATAGAAGAAGTGACATCAATTCATTGTGTTAATTATATAAATGATTGGGTTAAATAAAGAATTTACTCACCACAGCTGTAGCAGTGCCAGTTCCCAGTGAAGCCCAGCTCAGAATCAAGGACAGAACAACAAAACCCATGATCCTGCAGTAAACAGCATTGTCAGGGTTTATAGGTCGGGGGGGGGGGGGGGGGGGGGGGGACGACAAACACTATTGGGGGTATCTTGATGAATCACTTTGTCCTCCGAGTGTTTCAGTGAGACAAATGTAGCCCCATTTTTACCCAATTAACTAGATTTATGCATCTCTTTTGTTTGAAATGTGCTCCCCTTCTGCCTAAAGACAGAGACCCAGCTGTTGCGACACAGCGTACGAGAGTGATTTTTTGTTTCTATTAAAGTTTACACAAAGATAAATTAATTCATAGCTTAAAGTTTGCTTTCCACAACCCTTAGAATGGTTTTAAGTATTTGGAAAATATTCAGTGCTTTCTGATGAAATTGTGCAATATAATGATCCACCAAATAGTGGCACAGTTTCTGAAACAGCTGCTAAGTCTCACTGTAATTTTAGAAAGAGACTAATAAAAAAATTAAAAACACACACATTATAAATTGTTCCACTACCAGCAAGAATATTAAGAGCCTACTAAAGTGCAGAACATGAGCATGAAGTAGATGTGCTGTGAGAAAGAAAAAAAAATCCCTTGATATTAAAAGTTAGACGAAGGCTGTACTGCTCAACCCGCCCCTCAAACCTCCTTGAAAGCACCAATAAAGCAGCCTGAGAGCACTTAATAATCAGTTAAGGGAGCAGCCTCATCCTGCTCAGGCGATCAATAGGCATTAGTGAGGCCCATTAGAACAGGATGTGAGAAGCGATCCTGAGCATCATCTGCTAAAACGAACACGAAGGTTGCACTAAATTGGGCAAATGGGATGGAGCAGTCGGAGCTGTGGATTTGATTGTCAGGTGTTGGTTTGAATCACTGGCAGCAAATTGCTGAAACAAACATTCTGCAAGTGACTCTTTGGATTCTAAATCGGAAATAAACAACATTTCACCTAGCTGGCTTGACTCAGGGTTTTTGTGTCTCCTATTTATGCATTCCCAAACTGAAGAAAGGGCTAAAAGGTCTTTGAAGATTTCTGTTAATGAAGTGCTTAATTGTGTATGGTGCCAGACTGCCTGACCAAAACCAATATGTAACAGAAAAAAGAAATTAGCCTGAAGCTCAAAGAAGAGACCAATTCTCCCACATTCACCATGATGGTACCTACGTGATGAGAAGGCATTGAGACTGCTTGGCAATCCCCAAACACATGCCCAAGCAGATGACCAGATCAAGGATCAGCAGCAACAGATAAATCAGCCATCTACAAGACAGGAAAATGATGCATCAGTAACAACCCCCATCATTAACCCTCCTTAACAGACATTATTGGCACATGTTCAATACTTGGTGTGTGCTCACTAAACACATGTTCGGCAGGGAAAGTGAGAGACAAACGTGTGTCTTGTATCAGCATTCCTATCTCTCGGTTAGAGCCCATCTGTTTCAGGTCATTTCCAGCTTGTTTGGCTAAATTATTCAACAGCATCAATCCATAGACATTAATGTTTTATTACACTTTTAAAGTGTCCTCCTCAAGAATGGCTGACACAAGGTTTGAATGACATGTGCAAGTATGCATTTCTTTTTTGGGGGGTGGGGGTGGTGGAGACTAGCCAAATTCTCTATTCCCATCTTTTTGTGGTTCGCTGGCACACCCTGAACATGGACGTTCAGGTTGTCACACGAACAGTTACATTCTGATGATACAATGGACTGACACAGGCTTGGTGTGCTGTACCTGCAGGATAATAGTTATTCTGTGCACTGAGGTCAGCAGAGAATATGATTCACTCACAGTGAAGAGGTACTCTCACAGACTCAATAAACTGCAGTCTGACCATTACTCTACTCAAAGACGAGGGCACATGAATGAAGGTTGTGCACTTTACTTTGTCTGTGAAGACAAAACCAAATTCACACATAAAGACAGAAAAAATATATATAATACTGGGAACTAAATTTAGAGAATCATTTCTGCTTTGTTCAAATAACATTGGATTGGCTGTAACATTTCCAATAGGTCCCTGCAGTGTGCTGTTCAACAGCTACATAGAATCCAATCAAAACCCAGGGGACCAGTGTCGGATAACTGTGTTCTAAAGACAAGATCCGGTCTCAGTGCAGCAAGGACACATGGATCTGAGTCATGTAGGATTATGTATGAAATCAATATAAGGATGCGGTTTCACTACCGGAGGAAAAAAACTGTTATTTGGATGGTGTCACAATCTGCTCCTGCCTCCCTGACTGTGACTCTCCCCTGCCTCCTGATTAGTCCTTATTGTTCTCACCTGCCCCTTGTTAATCTGCCCATGTGTTCCTGATTGTTTCCCTGAGTATTTACAGTGGGGCAAAAAAGTATTTAGTCAGCCACCGATTGTGCAAGTTCTCCCACTTAAAATGATGACAGAGGCCAGTAATTTTCATCACAGGTACACTTCAACTGTGAGAGACAGAATGTGAAAAATAATCCATGAACTCACATGGCAGGATTTTTAAAGAATTTATTTGTAAATCAGGGTGGAAAATAAGTATTTGGTCAATAACAAAAATTCAACTCAATACTTTGTAACATAACCTTTGTTGGTAATAACAGAGGTCAAACGATTACAAAACTAATTGAAACAATTCATTCTGTCCTCAACACGGATCAGTCGTCAGGTTTGCACACACAGTAGCTGGTATTTTGGCCCATTCCTCCATGCAGATCTTCTCGAGAGCAGTGATGTTTTGGGGCTGTCGCCGAGCAACACGGACTTTCAACTCCCTCCACAGATTTTCTATGGGGTTGAGGTCTGGAGACTGGCTAGGCCACTCCAGGACTTTCAAATGCTTCTTACGGAGCCACTCCTTTGTTGCCCTGGCGGTGTGTTTGGGATCATTGTCGTGTTGGAAGACCCAGCCACGTTTCATCTTCAAAGCTCTCACTGATGGAAGGAGGTTTTGGCTCAGAATCTCACGATACATGGCCCCATTCATTCTGTCCTTAACACGGATCAGTCGTCCTGTCCCCTTAGCAGAAAAACAGCCCCAAAGCATGATGTTCCCACCCCCATGCTTCACAGTAGGTATGGTGTTCTTGGGATGCAACTCAGTATTCTTCTTCCTCCAAACACGACGAGTTGAGTTTATACCAACAAGTTCTACTTTGGTTTCATCTGACCACATGATATTCTCCCAATCCTCTGCTGTATCATCCATGTGCTCTCTGGCAAACTTCAGACGGGCCTGGACATGCACTGGCTTCAGCAGCGGAACACGTCTGGCACTGCAGGATTTGATTCCCTGCCGTTGTAGTGTGTTACTGATGGTGACCTTTGTTACTGTGGTCCCAGCTCTCTGCAGGTCATTCACCAGGTCCCCCGTGTGGTTCTGGGATTCTTGCTCACTGTTCTCATGATCATTTTGACCCCACGGAATGAGATCTTGCATGGAGCCCCAGATCGAGGGAGATTATCAGTGGTCTTGTATGTCTTCCATTTTCTGATAATTGCTCCCACAGTTGATTTTTTCACACCAGGCTGCTTGCCTATTGTAGATTCACTCTTCCCAGCCTGGTGCAGGTCTACAATTCTTTTCCTGGTGTCCTTCGAAGGCTCTTTGGTCTTGGCCATAGTGGAGTTTGGAGTCTGACTGTTTGAGGCTGTGGACAGGTGTCTTTAATACAGATAATGAGTTCAAACAGGTGTCATTAATACAGGTAACGAGTGGAGGACAGAAAAGCTTCTTAAAGAAGACGTTACAGGTCTGTGAGAGCCAGAGATTTTCCTTGTTTGAAGTGACCAAATACTTATTTTCCACCCTGATTTACAAATAAATTCTTTAAAAATCCTGCCATGTGAATTCATGGATTTTTTTCCCCATTCTTTCTCTCACAGTTGAAGTGTACCTATGATGAAAATTACTGACCTCTGTCATCATTTTAAGTGGAAGAACTTGCACAATCGGTGGCTGACTAAATACTTTTTTGCCCCACTCTATACCTCCCGTCTTGTTTGTCTTTGTCGGATCATTGTTGTTTGTTGTCAGCGTTGTTTTGTCCTGTCGTTCTCGCTCTGTTATTAAAACCATTTTACTTTATCCGAGCCTGCATTTTTGCCTCCGGGTCAGCTCTCCACACATGGTCCGCTGTCATCCACACCCGCAACGTGACAGAATGATCCGACCAACCTGGACCTGTGGTGAGCTCAAGACATCTCCCTGGAGGATTATTTTTGCTTTGTCTCCTTTTCAGCGGAGGGAGATTCCGTCCTGTGGGGTTTTAGGCACATCCTACCCTTTCTCGGGGTGGTCAAAATCATTTTTCCTCTCCTACTGTTTCGCTCTGTCCTGCTTCCCCACGGAAGCTGCGGATCCTGGAGTTTTGGTGAGGTAAAACACCCTACGCACACCAACATTCTTCGGGGAGGTAGGGCTGGACTTCCTGCTCCATTTCTGCTTCCCTTCACCTGAGCCTCCGCCTATGGACCCAGTTGTATTCTGATGTGCACCTGCTCTGACCGCTTGTTGAGTACCTGCCGCCGATCCTGGTTTCCTCGCGTCGCTCCTGCAGTTTCATCTACTTCCTGGTACACGCCTGCGGGGCCTACGCCTGCAGGTCCTTCATGCTGCAGCCTCTTCAGAGTCCTGCTACTGCAGCCCAAACCAGAGCTCAAGGAACTCTCCAAAGCCAGAGTTGTGCCGCCTATTTCAGAGGCCCCTGCTCTGCCAACCAAGTGTTCGAGTTCCAGTGTCCGAGTGTTCGAGTTTCCAGTGTCCGAGTTCCAGTGTCCGAGTTCCAGAGTCTACGTGTCTGAGTTTCAGTGTCCGAGTGTTCAAGTTCCAGAGTCTACGTGTCCGAGTTCCAGTCCAAGTGTTCCAGTCACCTCAAGGCACTTCACATAATAAACATTCCAATACAGGTCAGGGGCCTCATTTATCAAGCTTGCTTACGCACAAAACGGGGTCGGAAAAGTGCGTAAGCAACTTTCCACGCAAACTTTAGGATTTATGAAAGAAAACTTAGCGGAAAAATGTGCGCAACTTTAAGTTGACTAAGGACCTTGCTTACGCCCATTTTGGACGTCGAGAGCACCTGCAGTGCTGCTGCTGAGAAGGATAAAATTAAGAAATCCTGCACGCGCACACACACACACACGCACACACACGCACGCACGCACACACAGCCTGAAGCGCAGAATGCAGAATATCAGCAGGGGGACAGATTGAGACAGAATGTCATGCGTCTGTGACAGTGTGCGTCCTGCCACTGTGACCCGATTGATCATGCACCCTGGCTACTTGGACAAGGGAGATCTCTGTTTGGCTGACTGGTTAACACGTGTGACTTACACCCGGCAGTCTGGGGATTGAATCCCGATTGGACCACTTTTTTTAATATCCGCAACATGTTATATCATGTTCAGCAGATACTATTTTTATTTTGGGTCAAATATGATTTGCACGTGAACACCCATGGGAGCTGCGTTGCGTGAGGAGCATTGTGGGTAGTTCATGTTCTTCGTCATTTAGTTCTATTTTGGGGTGTTTATGTATGTTTATTTTGGAGGGTTGAGTTGTTCTTATTACTTCATTCTGAGTTGTAAACATGGTGTTACTTGTTAAGACATGTTGGCACCATCGACATAAATACTGGACAATTCGTGTCAATAGGCTCCAATAATACGTTTTTAAGCATAAATGGGAGGTGGCCACCACCCAAGGGGAAGTTTTAAGCACCAAGGAAGCAGCCGCAGCTTCCACAGAGGATATCACGGGGCTGCTCCCAACTTCCCACTTGTTGGACTTGTGGCGGTTTGGGTCACATCTCAAACATCTATCCCTTGCGACCACTCGACCGTGGGGGTGGGGGGGTAACAAGTGAATAGGGGTTAAAAACTCTGCTCCACATTTATGTAGAACCAGCTGTAGCTGATCTGAAAAACGTGAGGTTATACGCAAATGACTACGTGGCTGCACCGCACTGGTCTCCAGGTGAGGCAGCTGCACCTCCTCCTGGCTCAGCCACTTACCTGCCGATATAACACGCTGGCTCTGTGAGTCGCTCGCCTCCTTGAAAAAAATGCCCTCCTCCCCTGTTTCATCTAATGATCGTGGTTGACAGGAAATCCTCCAGAATGCTGCAGAATCTGTGTCTGCTCTTCTGAGCGGTAAGCCTTGTGTGAGTGCGTGCATGCTCCTTAACAACTCGTTTTTAATTCAATTCAATTCAAGTTTATTTATATAGCGCCAAATCACGACAAGAGTCGTCTCAAGGCACTT